CCCACAAACCCAACTCACTCACTCACTCATTTCGATAATAATCTAACTTTCCTTCCACATATTAAATACCTTAAAGCTTAATGTGTGTAGGCACTGGATTTATTGAAAGTAGTTTCTAAGTGGGGAGGGGATCCAACAACCCCTCACACTTATACAGGTCATTGATCCCTTCAAAACTAGATTACAGCTCCATCTTCTATGGTGGAGCCTGCAAAAGTAATTTTAAAATACATAGGTGCTATCCATCACCATCACCTTATCAGTCAAAACCAGCTTTTTATTGCGTCTTTAATCTTTGACTGTCAGTACCATGCTTTACGTTGTATTATTGACATGATGGAGATGTGTGTCGCTTTTAACTGTGCACACAGTGATTGTCAGTACCATGCTATACGTTGTATTATTGACATGATGGAGATGTGTGTCGCTTTAAACTGTGCACACAGTGACTCTCAGTACCATGCTAAACGTTGTATTATTGACATGATGGATATGTGTGTCGCTTTTAACTGTGCACACAGTGACTGTCAGTACCATGCTATACGTTGTATTATTGACATGATGGAGATGTGTGTCGCTTTTAACTGTGCACACAGTGACTGTCAATACCATGCTATACGTTGTATTATTGACATGATGGAGATGTGTGTCGCTTTAAACTGTGCACACAGTGACTCTCAGTACCATGCTGTACGTTGTATCATTGACATGATGGAGATGTGTGTCGCTTTTAACTGTGCACACAGTGACTCTCAGTACCATGCTATACGTTGTATTATTGACATGATGGAGAGGTGTGTCGCTTTTAACTGTGCACACAGTGACTGTCAGTACCATGCTATACGTTGTATTATTGACATGATGGAGATGTGTATCGCTTTTAACTGTGCACACAGTGACTGTCAGTACCATGCTATACGTTGTATTATTGACATGATGGAGATGTGTATCGCTTTTAACTGTGCACACAGTGACTGTCAGTACCATGCTATACGTTGTATTATTGGCATGATGGAGATGTGTGTCGCTTTTAACTGTGCACACAGTGACTGTCAGTACCATGCTATACGTTGTATTATTGACATGATGGAGAGGTGTGTCGCTTTTAACTGTGCACACAGTGACTGTCAGTACCATGCTATACGTTGTATTATTGACATGATGGAGATGTGCGTCGCTTTTAACTGTGCACACAGTGACTGTCAGTACCATGCTATACGTTGTATTATTGACATGATGGAGATGTGTGTCGCTTTTAACTGTGCACACAGTGACTGTCAGTACCATGCTATACGTTGTATTATTGACATGATGGAGATGTGTGTCGTTTTTAACTGTGCACACAGTGACTGTCAGTACCATGCTATACGTTGTATTATTGACATGATGGAGATGTGTGTCGCTTTTAACTGTGCACACAGTGACTGTCAGTACCATGCTATACGTTGTATTATTGACATGATGGAGATGTGTGTCGCTTTTAACTGTGCACACAGTGACTGTCAGTACCATGCTATACGTTGTATTATTGACATGATGGAGATGTGTGTCGCTTTTAACTGTGCACACAGTGACTGTCAGTACCATGCTATACGTTGTATTATTGACATGATGGAGATGTGCGTCGCTTTTAACTGTGCACACAGTGACTGTCAGTACCATGCTATACGTTGTATTATTGACATGATGGAGATGTGCGTCGCTTTTAACTGTGCACACAGTGACTGTCAGTACCATGCTATACGTTGTATTATTGACATGATGGAGATGTGTGTCGCTTTTAACTGTGCACACAGTGACTGTCAGTACCATGCTATACGTTGTATTATTGACATGATGGAGATGTGTGTCGTTTTTAACTGTGCACACAGTGACTGTCAGTACCATGCTATACGTTGTATTATTGACATGATGGAGATGTGTGTCGCTTTTAACTGTGCACACAGTGACTGTCAGTACCATGCTATACGTTGTATTATTGACATGATGGAGATGTGTGTCGCATTTAACTGTGCACACAGTGACTGTCAGTACCATGCTATACGTTGTATTATTGACATGATGGAGATGTGTGTCGCTTTTAACTGTGCACACAGTGACTGTCAGTACCATGCTATACGTTGTATTATTGACATGATGGAGATGTGTGTCGTTTTTAACTGTGCACACAGTGACTGTCAGTACCATGCTATACGTTGTATTATTGACATGATGGAGAGGTGTGTCGCTTTTAACTGTGCACACAGTGACTGTCAGTACCATGCTATACGTTGTATTATTGACATGATGGAGATGTGTGTCGCTTTTAACTGTGCACACAGTGACTGTCAGTGCCATGCTATACGTTGTATTATTGACATGATGGAGATGTGTGTCGTTTTTAACTGTGCACACAGTGACTGTCAGTACCATGCTATACGTTGTATTATTGACATGATGGAGATGTGTGTCGCTTTTAACTGTGCACACAGTGACTGTCAGTACCATGCTATACGTTGTATTATTGACATGATGGAGATGTGTGTCGCATTTAACTGTGCACACAGTGACTGTCAGTACCATGCTATACGTTGTATTATTGACATGATGGAGATGTGTGTCGCTTTTAACTGTGCACACAGTGACTGTCAGTACCATGCTATACGTTGTATTATTGACATGATGGAGATGTGTGTCGTTTTTAACTGTGCACACAGTGACTGTCAGTACCATGCTATACGTTGTATTATTGACATGATGGAGATGTGTGTCGCTTTTAACTGTGCACACAGTGACTGTCAGTACCATGCTATACGTTGTATTATTGACATGATGGAGATGTGTGTCGCTTTTAACTGTGCACACAGTGACTGTCAGTGCCATGCTATACGTTGTATTATTGACATGATGGAGATGTGTGTCGTTTTTAACTGTGCACACAGTGACTGTCAGTACCATGCTATACGTTGTATTATTGACATGATGGAGATGTGTGTCGCTTTTAACTGTGCACACAGTGACTGTCAGTACCATGCTATACGTTGTATTATTGACATGATGGGGATGTGTGTCGCATTTAACTGTGCACACAGTGATTGTCAGTACCATGCTATACGTTGTATTATTGACATGTTTGAGATGTGTGTCGCTTTTAACTGTGCACACAGTGACTGTCAGTACCATGCTATACGTTGTATTATTGACATGATGGAGATGTGTGTCGCTTTTAACTGTGCACACAGTGACTGTCAGTACCATGCTATACGTTGTATTATTGACATGATGGAGATGTGCGTCGTTTTTAACTGTGCACACAGTGACTGTCAGTACCATGCTATACGTTGTATTATTGACATGATGGAGATGTGTGTCGCTTTTAACTGTGCACACAGTGACTGTCAGTACCATGCTATACGTTGTATTATTGACATGATGGAGATGTGTGTCGCTTTTAACTGTGCACACAGTGACTGTCAGTACCATGCTATACGTTGTATTATTGACATGATGGAGATGTGCGTCGCTTTTAACTGTGCACACAGTGACTGTCAGTACCATGCTATACGTTGTATTATTGACATGATGGAGATGTGTGTCGCTTTTAACTGTGCACACAGTGACTGTCAGTACCATGCTATACGTTGTATTATTGACATGATGGAGATGTGTGTCGCTTTTAACTGTGCACACAGTGACTGTCAGTACCATGCTATACGTTGTATTATTGACATGATGGAGATGTGTGTCGCTTTAAACTGTGCACACAGTGACTGTCAATACCATGCTATACGTTGTATTATTGACATGATGGAGATGTGTGTCGCTTTTAACTGTGCACACAGTGACTGTTAGTACCATGCTATACGTTGTATTATTGACATGATGGAGATGTGTGTCGCTTTTAACTGTGCACACAGTGACTGTTAGTACCATGCTATACGTTGTATTATTGACATGATGGAGATGTGTGTCGTTTTTAACTGTGCACACAGTGACTGTCAGTACCATGCTATACGTTGTATTATTGACATGATGGAGATGTGTGTCGCTTTTAACTGTGCACACAGTGACTGTCAGTACCATACTATACGTTGTATTATTGACATAATGGAGATGTGTTTTGCGATGTATAAACAAGGCCATTGATGTGTGTCGTGAGGTGGACTTTATCACCACAGATGTACAAGGCTTCTGGCTTCATCCGTTGTCATTATGACCCGTGAACATCCGGGGTAGAATAGATCTTCAGCAACCCATGCTTGCCGTAAAAGACGACTATGCTTGTCGTAAGAGGCGACTAATGGGATCGGGTGGTCAGGCTCTCTGACTTGGTTGATGCATGCCATCGATCCCAATTGCATGGATCGATGTGCATGATGTCAATCACTGGATTGTCTGGTTCAGACTCGATTATTTACAGACTGCCGTCATATAGCTGGAATATTGCTGAGTGCGGCATTAAACAACAAACAAACAAACATACAAGTAGACATTGTACATATGGATGTGATTATACTGCAGCCAATCAGACACTCTTTATTTCATGTGTAGCTAATTGTGCAATACGCCTTTACCAAATGGTTTCTTTCACCAATTGATGTGTATTATATTATCATATAGGTCGATGTCTCAATTTACAGTACAATACCATGGACATGATCCAGCAAGGCTATCATATTCCTATATCTTTCATGTTTCAGCAATTTGGTTTACTTAAATTCTCTTCTATGGTTCTTGTGGGGCTTTCGGCTGCTGCACAACCTCATTCGGGTGTCACATGGTTCTCCATACTCAGTGCTAAGAAAGGTTTGTGGTCCTCAAAGTTCATTTCTTAAGCAAGGCAGTGTCCGGTCAGCACGACCCCAAAACCAGCATACCCCTAGGGGTAGTCCGGGTCATTGGACCCCATGACCGGTACATCCCTCTCATTTTACTTCTAAGTCCGGTCCTCAAAACCCCAGGACACTCATTCTTCCTACCGGGTCACCACGACCCCAGGATTTCCCACTACGAAGGTCACCATGACCCCAGGGATTCACACTACCTGGGTCACCACGATCCCAGGGTTTCACACTGCCCAGGTCACCACGACCCCAGGGTTTCACACTACCCGTGTCATCACGACCCTAGGATATCACACTGCCTGGGTCAATAAGACGTTACTGTTTCACACTGCCCAGGTCAACACGACCCCAGAGTTTCACACTGCCCAGGTCACCTTGACGTTACTGTTTCACACTACCCGTGTCACCACGATCCCAGGGTTTCACACTGCCCAGGTCACCACGACCCCAGGGTTTCACACTGCCCAGGCCACCACGACCCCAGGGTTTCACACTACCCGTGTCACCATGACGTTACAGTTTCACACTACCCGTGTCATGACGACCCCAGGGTTTCACACTGCCCAGGTCACCACGACCCCAGGGTTTCACACTGCTCAGGCCACCCCGACACCAGGGTTTCACACTACCCGTGTCACCATGACCCCAGGGTTTCACACTGCCCAGGTCACCACGACCCCAGGGTTTCACACTGCCCAGGCCACCACGACCCCAGGGTTTCACACTACCCGTGTCACCATGACCCCAGGGTTTCACACTGCCCAGGTCACCACGACCATAGGGTTTCACACTGCCCAGGCCACCACGACCCCAGGGTTTCACACTACCCGTGTCACCATGACGTTACAGTTTCACACTGCCCAGGCCACCACGATCCCAGGGTTTCACACTGCCCATGTCACCACGAGCCTAGGGTTTCACACTGCCCAGGTCACCACGACCCTAGGGTTTCACACTGCCCAGGCCACCACGACCCCAGGGTTTCACACTGCCCATGTCACCACGAGCCTAGGGTTTCACACTACCCTTGTCACCATGACGTTACTGCTTCACAATACCCAGGTCACCACGACCCCAGGGTTTCACACTGCCCAGGTCATCACGACCCCAGGGTTTTACACTACCCGTGTCACCGTGACGTAACTGTCTCACACTGCCCAGGTTACCACGACCCTAGCATTTCACACTACCCTTGTCACCATGACGTTACTGCTTCACAATACCCAGGTCACCACGACCCCAGGGTTTCACACTGCCCAGGTCATCACGACCCCAGGGTTTTACACTACCCGTGTCACCGTGACGTTACAGTTTCACACTAGCCAGGTCACCACAACCCCAGGGTTTTACACTGCCCAGGTCACCACGACCCTAGGGTTTCACACTGCCCAGGTCACCACGACCCCAGGGTTTCACACTGCCCAGGTCACCACGACCCCAGGGTTTCACACTGCACAGGTCACCACGACCCCAGGGTTTCACACTGCCCAGGTCACCACGACCCCAGGGTTTTACACTGCCCAGGTCACCTTGACGTTACTGTTTCACACTACCCGTGTCACCACGATCCCAGGGTTTCACACTGCCCAGGTCACCACGACCCCAGGGTTTCACACTGTCCAGGCCACCACGACCCCAGGGTTTCACACTACCCGGGTCACCATGACGTTACAGTTTCACACTACCCGTGTCATAACGACCCCAGGGTTTCACACTGCCCAGGTCACCACGACCCCAGGGTTTCACACTGCTCAGGCCACCACGACCCCAGGGTTTCACACTACCCGTGTCACCATGACCCCAGGGTTTCACACTGCCCAGGTCACCACGACCCTAGGGTTTCACACTGCCCAGGCCACCACGACCCCAGGGTTTAACACTACCCGTGCCACCATGACGTTACAGTTTCACACTGCCCAGGTCACCACGACCCCAGAGTTTCACACTGCCCATGTCACCACGAGCCTAGGGTTTCACACTACCCGTGTCACCGTGATGTTACAGTTTCACACTGCCCAGGTCACCACGACCCCAGGGTTTCACACTGCCCAGGTCATCACGACCCTAGGGTTTCACACTACCCTTGTCACCGTGACGTAACTGTCTCACACTGCCCAGGTTACCACGACCCTAGCATTTCACACTACCCTTGTCACCATGACGTTACTGCTTAACAATACCCAGGTCACCACGACCCGAGGGTTTCACACTGCCCAGGTCATCACGACCCCAGGGTTTTACACTACCCGTGTCACCGTGACGTTACAGTTTCACACTAGCCAGGTCACCACAACCCCAGGGTTTTACACTGCCCAGGTCACCACGACCCTAGGGTTTCACACTGCCCAGGTCACCACGACCCCAGGGTTTCACACTGCCCAGGTCACCACGACCCCAGGGTTTCACACTGCACAGGTCACCACGACCCCAAGGTTTCACACTGCCCAGGTCACCACGACCCCAGGGTTTTACACTTCCCAGGTCACCATGACGCTACTGTTTCACACTGCCCGTGTCACCACGACGCCAGGGATTTACACTTCCCAGGTCACCACGACGCCAGGGTTCACACAACCTGGGTCACCACGACCCTAACATTTCACACTCACCGTGTCACCATGACGTTACTGTTTCACACTGCCCGTCTCACCACGACGTTACTGTTTCACACTACCCGTCTCACCACGACGTTACTGTTTCACACTGCCCAGGCCACCACGACCCCAGGGTTTCACACTTCCCAGGTCACCACGACCCTAGCATGTCACACTACCCGTGTCACCGTGACGTTACTGTTTCACACTACCCAGGTCACCACAACCCAAGGGTTTCACAGTGCCGAGGTCACCACGATCCCAGGGTTTCACACTACCCGTGTCACCGTGACGTAACTGTTTCATACTGCCCAGGCCACCACGACCCCAGGGTTTCACACTGCCCAGGTCACCACGACCCCAGAGTTTCACACTGCCCAGGTCACAACGACCCCAGAGTTTCACACTGCCCAGGTCACCACGACCCCAGAGTTTCACACTGCCCAGGTCACAACGACCCCAGAGTTTCACACTGCCCAGGTCACCACGACCCCAGAGTTTCACACTGCCAAGGTCACCACGACCCCAGAGTTTCACACTGCCCAGGCCACCACGACCCCAGAGTTTCACACTGCCCAGGTCACCACGACCCCAGAGTTTCACACTGCCCAGGCCACCACGACCCCAGAGTTTCACACTGCCCAGGCCACAACGACCCCAGAGTTTCACACTACCCGTGTCACCACGACCCCAGAGTTTCACACTGCCCAGGCCACCACGACCCCAGAGTTTCACACTACCCGTGTCACCACGACCCCAGAGTTTCACACTGCCCAGGCCACCACGACCCCAGAGTTTCACACTACCCGTGTCACCACGACCCCAGAGTTTCACACTACCCGTGTCACCACGACCCCAGAGTTTCACACTGCCCGTGTCACCGTGACGTTCCTGTTTCACACTACCCGTGTCACCACGACCCCAGAGTTTCACACTGCCCAGGCCACCACGACCCCAGAGTTTCACACTACCCGTGTCACCACGACCCCAGAGTTTCACACTACCCGTGTCACCACGACCCCAGAGTTTCACACTGCCCGTGTCACCGTGACGTAACTGTCTCACACTGCCCAGGTCACCACGTCCCCAGGGTTTCACACTGCCCAGGTCACAACGACTTCAGGGTTTCACACTGCCCGTGTCACCGTGACGTTACTGTTTCAAACTACCCGTGTCACTGTGACGTAACACACTGCCCAGGTCACCACGACCCCAGGGTTTCACACTGCCCAGGTCACAACGACTTCAGGGTTTCACACTACCCGTGTCACCGTGACCCCAGAGTTTCACACTGCCCAGGTCAACACGACCCCAGGGTTTCACACTGCCTGTGTCACTGTGACGTTACTGTCTCACACTGCCCAGGTTACCACGACCTCAGAGTTTCACACTGCCCAGGTCACCACGACCCCAGAGTTTCACACTGCCCAGGTCACCACGACCCCAGAGTTTCACACTGCCCAGGCCACCACGACCCCAGAGTTTCACACTGCCCAGGTCACCACGACCCCAGAGTTTCACACTGCCCAGGCCACCACGACCCCAGAGTTTCACACTGCCCAGGCCACCACGACCCCAGAGTTTCACACTACCCGTGTCACCACGACCCCAGAGTTTCACACTGCCCAGGCCACCACGACCCCAGAGTTTCACACTACCCGTGTCACCACGACCCCAGAGTTTCACACTACCCGTGTCACCACGACCCCAGAGTTTCACACTGCCCGTGTCACCGTGACGTTCCTGTTTCAAACTACCCGTGTCACTGTGACGTAACACACTGCCCAGGTCACCACGACCCCAGGGTTTCACACTGCCCAGGTCACAACGACTTCAGGGTTTCACACTACCCGTGTCACCGTGACCCCAGAGTTTCACACTGCCCAGGTCAACACGACCCCAGGGTTTCACACTGCCTGTGTCACTGTGACGTTACTGTCTCACACTGCCCAGGTTACCACGACCTCAGAGTTTCACACTGCCCAGGCCACCACGACCCCAGAGTTTCACACTGCCCAGGTCACAACGACCCCAGGGTTTCACACTGCCCAGGTCACCACGACCCCAGAGTTTCACACTGCCCAGGCCACCACGACCCCAGAGTTTCACACTGCCCAGGCCACCACGACCCCAGAGTTTCACACTGCCCAGGTCACAACGACCCCAGGGTTTCACACTGCCCAGGTCACCACGACCCCAGAGTTTCACACTGCCCAGGCCACCACGACCCCAGGGTTTCACACTGCCTGTGTCACTGTGACGTAACTGTCTCACACTGCCCAGGTTACCACGACCTCAGAGTCTCACACTGCCCAGGCCACCACGACCCCACGGTTTCACACTGCCCAGGCCACCACGACCCCAGAGTTTCACACTGCCCAGGCCACCACGACCTCAGAGTTTCACACTACCCGTGTCACCGTGACGTTCCTGTTTCAAACTACCCGTGTCACCGTGACCCCAGAGTTTCACACTGCCCAGGTCACCACGACCCCAGGGTTTCACACTGCCCGTGTCACTGTGACGTAACTGTCTCATACTGTCCAGGCCACCACGACCCCAGAGTTTCACACTACCCGTGTCACCACGACCCCAGAGTTTCACACTGCCCAGGCCACCACGACCCCAGAGTTTCACACTACCCGTGTCACCACGACCCCAGAGTTTCACACTGCCCAGGCCACCACGACCCCAGAGTTTCACACTACCCGTGTCACCACGACCCCAGAGTTTCACACTGCCCAGGTTACCACGACCTCAGAGTTTCACACTACCCAGGTTACCACGACCTCAGAGTTTGACACTGCCCATGTCACCACGACCCCAGGGTTTCACACTGCCCAGGCCACCACAACCCCAGGGTTTCACACTGCCCAGGCCACCACGACCCCAGGGTTTCACACTGCCCATGTCACCACGACCCCAGGGTTTCACACTGCCCGTATCACTGTGACGTAACTGTCTCACACTGCCCAGGCCACCACGACCCCAGGGTTTGACACTGCCCAGGCCACCACGACCCCAGGGTTTCACACTGCCCATGTCACCACGACCCCAGGGTTTCACACTACCCGTGTCACTGTGACGTAACTGTCTCACACTGCCCAGGTTACCACGACCTCAGAGTTTCACACTGCCCAGGTCACAACGACTTCAGGGTTTCACACTACCCGTGTCACCACGACCCCAGAGTTTCACACTACCCGTGTCACCACGACCCCAGAGTTTCACACTGCCCAGGCCACCACGACCCCAGGGTTTCACACTGCCCATGTCACCACGACCCCAGGGTTTCACACTACCCGTGTCACTGTGACGTAACTGTCTCGAACTGCCCAGGCCACCACGACCCCAGGGTTTCACACTGCCCAGGCCAGCACGACCCCAGAGTTTAACACTGCCCAGGTCACAACGACCCCAGGGTTTCACACTGTCCAGGTCACCACGACTTCAGGGTTTCACACTGCCCAGGTCACCACAACTTCAGGGTTTTCACAATACCCATGTCACCACGACCCTAGGGTTTCACAGCAGGCAACCGAGGCAGCCTCCCTATGATGCCAAACATTTGTAAGCAAATAAAATGTTCTTTTTATGTAATACACTTTATGTTGTTTGTTACACAAAGTGCATGCCTTGAGGTGGTGACCAAAAATATTTTCTGTCTCTAAAAATAATCAAAGCTTTCCCTCCCCAGAATATTCAATTGTTGGTTCCTTGTGACAAACGCGGGATCTTGTGATGGCTTTTGCTTTGGAATAACTTTTTTGAATCATTAAGAAGAACAATAAGAAAGATGATTAAAATATTTATTTCACTAATATGAGGATTTTATCTACAGACAAAAATCAAGAAAGAGAAATGCATCACACTATAAATTGTGATATTTGTATTAATAATTGTACTAAAACTATATATAACTATGGGAGATAGAAATGTACAGACACTCGTGTCATATCTCGATAAATGACAAAGTAGAAAACCAGTTTGAATATGTAAACGACACAACTTTTCAAGTTGATCAATATTCATCATGTAGACACAATCACAATCACAATCACATCATCAAATATACCAGTTTCTATCCCTCTAAAGTAAAGTAACCATATATTTTATAATAATATTTTATAAAAAATATTTTTTGTGGAATTATGAAATGGCCTATGAGGTTGATATTCCGTCAAACTAATCCAAGGACACTTGACACTTGAAACGTCAGACAAAAAGAGCAGTGTTTAGTGCTTTAATTATTTTACAATATGATACATTTAAACATCATCATTCTCCCTCTAGACATTGGCATTTGTTATCCAACCTCACACCTGGACCGTTACCAGCCTTTAAAATAATACAACATAGCATAGAAAACACAATAAAATGCTCAATATAATTTTATGAGGAGACATCATCAGTAGTCATTGTACATATGGATGTGATCACACTGCAGCCAATCAGACACTCTTTATTTCATGTGTAGCTACTTGTGCAATAAACCCGTGAAGATCCGGGATAGAATAGGTCTTCAGCAACCCGTGCTTGCCGTAAAAGGCGACTGTGCTTGTCATAAGAGGCGACTAACGGGATCGGGTGGTCAGACTCGCTGCCTTGGTTTGATGCATGTCATCGATCCCAATTGCGCGGATCGATGTTCATAATATTAATCCCTGGCTTGTCTGGTCTAGGCTAGATTATTTACAGACTGCCGTCATATAGCTGGAATATTGATGAGTGCGGCGTTAAACAACCAACCAACCAACTTCTGCAATACGTCTTTACCACATAGAGTCACTTTCACCAATTGGTGTGTATTATATAATCATATATTTACAATAAAATACTCAACATGATATTATGAGGTAAGCGGACAGGGTAGAACGTTTTTACAGGTTGAAAGTGAATGTCTAAGAGTCAACCTAGACACATCTACCAATCAATATCATTGGAAACAGTTAAGCAAGGTGAATCACTAAAATATGGCACATTTGACAGCATTGGACGCGTGTTACTCTACAAGTAATGAAGTAACTTTATATTGAACAAAACATTAAATTGACTACAAATAACGAAGGATCAAAATAAAGGTTCCATTTCTGAAATCTGTTTTCTTGTTTCAGTGGATTTGTCTCCTTTCGTCAAGCACCCCATAATGTAAATATGATCTTAAAAGAACAATCTAGAAGACGTCACATACACTTTGTCACAGGGTGTTTCTTTATTGCAACACATTCACTCCACATGAGATGTCCTATTGTCGTTTTTTCTTAGTTGGGGGATGCTGATTGCGTAGTTTCCGTTTGCGTCTTCCTGCTTCTTCTGTCACTCCCCCACTGGCACTGATACTCCCCAGTGAAGTGTCTGACTCGCCAAGGTGAACCTGCTAACAAAATTACTTGTTTAAATCAGCCATTCAGTGATGGGTATTGTGGAGAGAATTCACCTATTCTGTGATCAACTAAATGTTACTGATGATATACTTATTTACTTATTTACATATTTTCAGTTGATACTCACTTTGTTCAGGGTCAAATCAGCTCTATATGCTTCAAGTTCCTGTAATCGTCTTTCAAATCTACTGTTTCTCACATACTGTTGGGAAAGGATTGCTTGAAACTCAGATTTGGTTATGTATTCGTTTTCCTCAGCTGATTTCCTTTCATCTGCCTGTGGTTGAATCTCAGACACATGTGTGCTTGTCCCAGCTGTTATCACACACATATCGGTGTCTGTCCCAGCTGTTATCACACGCATCTCGGTGTCTGTCGCAGCTGTTATCACACACATCCCGGTGTCTGTCCCAGCTGTTATCACACGCATCTCGTTGTCTGTCCCAGCTGTTATCACACGCATCTCGGTGTCTGTCCCAGCTGTTATCACACGCATCTCGTTGTCTGTCCCAGTGTCTGTCGATTTGATGTTTCGTCTATTTGCACCAAGACCCGCGACTGATTGTGATTCGTGTCGCTCCGTTCTCTCTTCTCTTGACGCATCTTCATTTTGATCTTGACATCTGTCAGTTGCTGTATTCGGTTGATCCAACTGGTTGTTCTCAGTGGGTACAGCCGCTTCATGTGAGGGTTGAGATGTATCAGTTTCTTCATCTACACAACCCTCATCTGCAGCATCCTGTTGTGTCTCATCATCAGGGGAGTTATCAGGATTTGATGCGTCACTGGATGTCGTATTCCTATCATCACCTGTCATCACATAGAAGGGATTATTCCCAATGTTTGCTGGTAACGCACAATCAGCTGTATCTGTCTGGAGCGGGACATCATTCATTTCAGTGTCAGTGACTGCTGTATTTGCATCATCGCCTTGCATGAAATTGAAGAGAACAGATGCTAAGCCTGCGTAAAAAGTATCATCGGATGTATCTGGTGTGAGACTGATGTGTCCTAGTATATCACCTGGCATTTCAACAACACCATTTCTGGGAGATGGCGACACCAAGTCGATATTCCTCTGTCCTTCCTGATTTGGTTCTTCCGAGTCATTGTTGACCTTAGTTTCATCAAAGGAATTACTGTCTGACATCATACCATGCTCAGCTACCGAGGCATGTGACGAATCAGTTCCTGACGTACATGGCGTGGATTTCATTTCATTTTCTCGGATATTATCTGACGTCATTCGTACAAAGTCACTATTTCCCGTAGTCTCTGCTTCCATGATGTCCTGATCCTGATGTGGCGTGTCTGTTGTGTCTGGTGTGCGGGTTGACAGTGTACAGTGACTGTTAGATAGTCCCCCTGGGGAACTGTCTGTCTCTGCCCCCTCTACCGTTGTTCCACCTGTTAACATGCCATGACAAGGTATTCCAGTAGCTGTGCACAGCTCTGAAGCAGTTACATTACTGATCTGCTTTGTTTTGGGGTTCTTGTTTTTCTTTCTTTGTCTTCTCTTGCTTTGATGACGTGTCACTATGTTAGAAATGATGGGGTTGGTTTCACAGACTGTGTTGGTTACAGATTGGGAGTCTGCTAGTTGGCCAAACTCGGAATGTGTTGTTGTGACTGATGGAGGCCTTGCTGTGTGATGACGTGTTACATTTGACATTTTCTCCTGTACCAGCTGTGTCAAGCGACGAATGGCTTCAGTGGTCGAGGAGGTGAAGTCTGGTTCACACATTAGAGCATCTACAGCAGCCCTGTAGTTCTCTGTCTTGAGGTGCTGCCGTAGTCTGTCCTGAGTTTCTTGGTGGTCAAGATTAACAGCGAAAGGTGCCAAGTCTGTGGGGAGACAGTTCCTTTCTGTCAGAACTCTTCCAAGTTCCTTAGCCCTCTCTATCAGATCTGAGAGGCTGTCCTTGTTCTTTCCTGACGGATTTTTCCAACGAAAGTTGTTTGAAAATCCGGCATTGTAAGCTGCATTGGCAACTTCGTCGGACCAGATAGTTTTACCAATTTTGAGGTGTTTTCTGAGAGTTTCTGAAAACCGACGAACCAGCATTTCGATGCATGTTCTAGGGTTAAACTCTGGCCCAGGGTTGCTCTCAACATCGTGAGACAACCACAGGGCCAACATCGACGCCATCTTAAATGCATACTTGAGTCTACCTCTGCTGAGGGAGATGTTGTAGGAATCAGACTTCAATGAATCCAGCACTTCTCCCAGTTTGTACAACAGAAGATCACAGAACATGATTTTCCATGTGCTGGCTGTCATCTTATAGAAGGTCTTGATCAGTGACTCCAGTTTCAGTTTTGCGTCCTCACTCAGTGACTGCAACGTGTCCTCAACTAAGTCGGTGATTTGTTGCAGGACAATCTTCACTTCTCTACAAGTTTCTTTTACTGACATCTTGTTGTCAGAGAGTCTCTCCTTCTGTTTCAGCATCTCCTCACTCATCGTCTGAATGAATCCTGCCGCGTGCGTTACTTTAGGGTCTGACTGTGAGGTTGTGTCCTGTTGGAGTTTCTGTGTCTCGGTCTTGATTTGCTCTGCTGCACTCTGGACTTCTCTTTCCTCCCGTTTCCTCTCCTCTTCCAACTGAATAGAAATACAAGAATGTTATACAGAATATATATTCACATTGCTTTATATTTTCTTTCGCATTTGTTTCTGTTATATTCCTCTTTCCTAACAACTATCACTATACTTAGTTTATCAAATATATTCTGAAATCTTCTGTCATATGTACATTGTACTTGGTACAATAAACTTATGAGTGGAAATATTGATAATCGTATGACATATTTACATTTATTTGGGGCTTGGTACCCTTATATCTGAGGTTTCACAGGCTATTAGAATATAGCTTTGGATAAAGTTTACTTAGGGTTTTGGATTATCGGTGTTTTAAAACCACAATAATCTATCTGGAGGAAACTGGCGATTTTAACTTGTTCAGATAACTTTGTTATATGCAGTCCCTTTGTCTGTCTGTTTGATTCTCTATGCGCCCGTCGTAGGTCATTTGAGATGTACGTGATTTGAAACCTTGTGCTTCGACGTGGTCTGCCAGTAGAATGAAATTGGCTGAACGTAGTCATAATTTTTCCGCCGTCTCCCGGTCCTAAATCCCACCCTAAATTATACACCTCTCCCAGTCCTTACTCCCACCTTAACACATACATCTTCCCCAGTTGTAACGCCTACATATATCTCATCCAGTCCTATCTCCAACCCTAACATATATATCTCCCCTAGTCCTAACCCTCACCCTAACAAATACCTCTCCACCAGTCCAAACCCTTACCCTAATATGTTATCGCATTGTCATCCGTTACATATACATGAATGCATTGTTGGAAGCTAAAAAGGAACATTTTTAAAATCTCGTTGTCATCCGTTACATATACATGTTTGTATTGTTGGAAAGCTTATAAAGGAACATTTTTTTTAAATCAGTAAAGGTGAACAGCCTGTAATACCTGGTTAACAGATAACCAGATTTAAATAATTTAGAACCATTTTGTAATGACACTGCAACCCGTGTGTTTCGCATTCTAATTCGTATGACATGGGCACAGTTTGCATATTGCCGTGATGCTTAAATTACTGGCTTCACGGCGGGGTTACATATAACAATAGTATCAGGTGAAAACGTGACGGCAACGTGCATGGAAAGGGTTCTTCATGTAAGACAGCAAATTGTGGATTAAATGTAGAACTTTTGCCATGGAATTAAAAACCAAAAGACTTCGTGCCATATGTGTAGTATGTGGTTGAAAACCCTTTCAATTGTGTGCTGCTTCCAAAAGCTGTAACTTCCTCATCCATAATCAGAACCCATGCCTTTTTCTGATTGTTATCATGTTAATATGTTTTTATTTCCAAACTGACTTTGATGAGTAGCAATAGTTCTTTGGCAGTTATGACTACATCTGGAAGTTATGTGTTGTATCATTAAACGAGAATATTATGGAATTCTACGACATGTCAATCTGACATCATAATGAGATTAATCTTGTATCGTGTGAGAAGTGATCCTATCTGTTAGTAATGACTGCGTCTGAACGGACTTTGCCTTCAACAGTTCACAATAAACATATGGGTGCTAGATGAATACTTGGCGTAAATAAACATAGGTATTCCAAAGAAGTCAACATACAAACATTCAGTATTATATCTTCTTCATAGTTTCAAAACCTTACTAACAAACCGTGACTTAAATCACAGACAACAGTCTGTGTAAGTGAAAAATGTACCACATGATACTGAATAAAGCATCCTGTATCACCCGGTCTGTGTAAGTTACACATGTGCCACATGATACCGAATATATCCCCTGTATGTCCCCGTCTGTGTCAGTTACACATGTACCACATGATACTGAACATATCCCCTATATGTCCCTGTCTGTGTAAGTTACACATGTACCACATGATTCCGAATATATGCCGTGTCTGTCCCTGTCTGTGTAAGTTACACATGTACCACATGATACCGAATATATCCCCTGTATGTCCCCGCCTGTGTAAGTTACTAATGTACCACATGATACCGAATGAATCCCCTGTATGTCCCAGTATGTGTAAGTTACATAAGTACCACATGATACCGAATATATCCCCTGTATGTCCCCGTCTGTGTAATTTACTAATGTACCACGTGATACCGAATATATCCCCTGTATGTCCCCGTCTGTGTAAGTTACACATATATCACATGATACTGAACATATCCCCTATATGTCCCCGTCTGTGTAAGTTACACATGTATCATATGATACTGAACATATCCCCTGTATGTCCCCGTCTGTGTAAATGACATATGTACTACGTTATACACAATATCTCCCCGGTATCTCCCCGTCTGTATAAGTTAGACATGTACCACATGATACTTAATATATCCCTTGGATGTCCCCGTCTTTGTAAGTTACACATGTACCACATGATACTGAATATATACCATGTATCTCCCCGCCAGTGTAAGTTACACATGTACCACATAATACTAAATAAATACCCTGTATCTTCCCGCATGTGTAAGTTACACATGTATCACATGATACTTAATATATCCCGTGTATGTCCCCGTCTGTGTAAATGACAAATGCACATGATACCGAATATATTCCCTGTATGTCCCAGTCTGTGAAGGTGACACATGTACCAGATGATACTAAATATATCCCCTGTATGTCCCCGTCTGTGTACGTTACACATGTTCCACATGATACTGAATAAATCCCCTGTATGTCCCCGTCTGTTTAAGTTACACATGTATCACATGATACTTAATAAATCCCCTGTATGTCCCCTCTGTGTAAGTTACACATTACCACATGATACTTAATATATCCCCTGTATCTCCCCGTCTGTGTAAGTTACACATGTAGCACATGATACTGAATATATCCCCTGTATGTCCCCGTCTGTGTAAGTTACACATGCACCACATGATACTGAATATATCCCTTGAATGTCCCCGTCTGTTTAAGTTACACATGTACCACATGATACTGAACATATCCCCTGTAGGTCCCCGTCTGTGTAAATGACAAATGCACCACATGATACCAAATATATTCCCTGTTTGTCCCAGTCTGTGGAGGTGACACATGTACCAGATGATACTGAATAAATCCCCTGTATGTCCCCGTCTGTGTAAGTTACACATGTACCACATGATACTGAATATATCCCCTGTATGTCCCCGTCTGTGTAAGTTACACATTACCACATGATACTGAATATATCCCGTGTATGTCCCCGTCTGTGTAAGTTACACATTACCACATGATACTGAATAAATCCCCTGTATGTCCCCGTCTCTGTAAGTTACACATGCACCACATGATACTAAATATATCCCCTGTATGTCCCCGTCTGTGTAAGTAACACATGCACCAAATGATACCGAATATATCCCCTGAATGTCCCCGTCTGTTTAAGTTACACATGAACCACATGATACTGAACATATCCCGTGTATGTCCCCGTCTGTGTAAGTTACACATTACCACATGATACCGAAAATATCCCCTGAATGTCCCCGTCTGTTTAAGTAACACATGTACCACATGATACTGAACATATCCCGTGTATGTCCCCGTCTGTGTAAGTTACACATTACCACATGATACCGAATATATCCCCTGTATGTCCCCGTCTGTGTAAATGACCCGTGTACCACATGATACTGAATATATCCTCTGTATGTCCCCGTCTGTGTAAGTTACACATTACCAAATGATACCGAATATATCCCCTGAATGTCCCCGTCTGTTTAAGTTACACATGAACCACATGATACTGAACATATCCCGTGTATGTCCCCGTATGTGTAAGTTACACATTACCACATGATACCGAATATATCATCTGTATGTCCCCCTCTGTGTAAATGACTCGTGTACCACATGATACTGAATATATCCCCTGTATGTCCCCGTCTGTGTAAGTTACACATTACCACATGATACTTAATATATCCCCTGTATGTCCCTGTCTATGTAAGTTACACATGCACCACATGATACTTAATATATCCCGTGTATGTCCCCGTCTGTGTAAGTTACACATGTATCAGATCAGACTGAATAAATCCCCTGTATGTCCCCGTCTGTGTAAGTTACACATGCACCACATGATACTTAATATATCCCGTGTATGTCCCCGTCTGTTTAAGTTACACATTACCACATGATACTAAATATATCCCCTGTATGTCCCCGTCTGTGTAAGTTACACATGTACCACATGATACTGAACATATCCCGTGTATGTCCCCGTCTGTGTAAGTTACACATTACCACATGATACCGAATATCTCCCCTGCATGTCCCCGTCTGTGTAAGTTACACATTACCACATGATACTGAACATATCCCGTGTATGTCCCTGTCTGTGTAAGTTACACATACACCACATGATACTTAATATATCCCCTGTATGTCCCCGTCTGTGTAAGTTACACATGTACCACATGATACTGAACATATCCCCTCTATGTCCCCGTCTGTGTAAGTTACACATTACCACATGATACTGAACATATCCCCTGTATGTCCCCGTCTGTGTAAGTTACACATGCACCACATCATACTTAATATATCCCCTGTATGTCCCCGTCTGTGTAAGTTACACATTACCACATGATACTGAATAAATCCCCTGTATGTCCCCGTGTGTGTAAGTTACACATTACCACATGATACTGAACATATCCCGTGTATGTCCCTGTCTGTGTAAGTTACACTTGCAACACATGATACTGAATATATCCCCTGAATGTCCCCGTCTGTGTAAGTTACACTTGCAACACATGATACTGAATAAATCCCCTGTATGTCCCCGTCTGTGTAAGTTACACTTGCAACACATGATACTGAATAAATCCCCTGTATGTCCCCGTCTGTGTAAGTTACACATGCACCAAATGATACCGAATATCTCCCCTGCATGTCCCCGTCTGTGTAAGTTACACATTACCACATGATACTGAACATATCCCGTGTATGTCCCTGTCTGTGTAAGTTACACATACACCACATGATACTTAATATATCCCCTGTATGTCCCCGTCTGTGTAAGTTACAC